CAGCAAAGAGACACTACTACAGAGGCTCCCAGAGGCAGAAAGGAGGGGGAAATACCACCTCCTCACCACCTCCAGTCTCCTGCCCCTGCCTCCCAAGCCTGAGGCCATCCATCCCAAATATCCTGGGTACAGCAAGCAGGGAGAGGGGGGTGGGGGCGGGGAGCAGGGTCAGGGCAGGGAATTTACCTGAGGGCAGAGAGGTCTAGAGTTGCTCCAGGGAGAGGGTTTTAAAGCAAAACCAGCTTTACATCTTCGTCCTTCTGCTTGTTTTAGCAAGCAAAATACATACAAGAATGGATTTTAAGGGATTTTGCAAGAAATAACAATTAATACATTGTTAATTTTTCAAGCTATTTGGTTTTTTTTTTTTTTTGTCTTCTTTCTCTTTTATCTAGTTTACTCTCCTGAACAGAGCAAAAGTACTTCTCAGGCAATATTTAGAGACTTGTGGAAATACATTCATTCAATCAAGAATTATTTGTCACACCCCTACCCCAGAACCAGAAATAAGAATATAGTTTACCATCTGGTTGGGAATGCAAAATAGACATTTATGAAGGAATCAGTAAGCAAGAGAGTATCAGATAAAGGGCTAATTTGTTTGTTTTACTAAGAAAATAGAGACTAATATGCACATACAAGGTACAATGTGCTATAAATAGGGCAAGGCTCAGGAAAGGCTGGTGTGAACATGAAGGGCAGTGTGCTTCTTCGCTGACCAATCAGAGTTTACCCAGGAGCCTCAGAGCCGCCCCAACCTGCCTGACCAGGGGAAGCTCCCCATGGGTGCCAACTCAGTGGAGTGATTCAGAAGAGCTGAACTGACTGCTTCCTGTCATGGCTCCCACAAATCTCTCAAAACCAGTGGTCTTGAATCTTAGCTGCATATTCGGATCAGCTGGGGAATTTTAGAGAAATACATCCATGCTCTGGCCCCACTCTAGATGAATTTATTTCCTGTGCTCTGGCATGAGTGTTTCCAAGTGTCCCAGGTGCTTGTGACCCACACTGAAGGATGAGACCTACTGGTAAACGAAGGCTTTCTGATCCTCTGAAGGGCCACAAAACAAGCTTTTCTTACCATATGTAATGGTAGTGCAGTGAGAGCGCTGAGTTCTGTGGAGGAGAGAAGTCCAGAGGGCATCATGATAACCTTATTGACTCATGATTTGTCTACAGCTGTCACTCGACATGCAAATATTGATCTGTATGGCCTTGCCTCCAAGTAGAAGAAGACAAGCTTTTCAGTTGTTTTCAAATAACTGTTACTGTTTTTTAAAACAGTTTTATTCAGATATAATTCACAAACCATAAAATCACCCATTAAAACGTACAACTCAATACTTTTTTAGTATATTCACTGAGTGGTACAGGCATCACTTCAATTTAAGTTTAGAGTGTTTTTGTCACCCTAAAAGAAAACTTTGTCCCTTTTTTTTTAATTGAAGGAAAAGCATTTCAGAAGCCCACTAGCATTTGGCACTCTCAGCTAGGATTGCATTTTCAGAAGCTCCGTTTTCTGTCTTCCTTCTTCTTTTATGTGTGTGTATAAGTTTGCCCTTATTTTCTTCCCCATTATGTTTGCCCTTGATTGTGTCTGTCAGAGTGCATGTGGGCAGGATAAAGAAGGTGCCCGAATGCTCATTAGGACAAATCTTCAGAGTGAGCCCACAGGCTGCCAGCTCCTGGATCTTGTTAATTTCCTGGCTGGTTTATGGCTTTGCAATGGCTGAAGATTTTAAGCCTATAAATGCTATACCCTCCAATAAGGACAGAGGACAGCTCTACTTGCCAAATATGCCGTGATCCATGGGGGTGAAAACAGTTTGGAAAATTACTCCGTTTTAGGGAGAAGGCGGTGAAGTACCTTAGCTGCTTTCTCTCTGCTTCTCAGCTCCTGCTGCACATACTGCCTCTTTCATCCTAACTCCCTGAGTGTCCTGTCTTCTGCAGCTTTGTTCTCCCAGTGAATTTCTACTGCCGGAGGGTTGGCATCCTACTCTTCCTGTCTTTGGCCTCCACCTCCTAATATAGGACTGAATTTACATACTGACTGGCCTATTTGACCCATTTGATAAAGAAAACCACTTTTAGAATAGGAATGTTCTGTTTCAGTTTGTTGTTTTCATTTTAGAGCATTGGATTGAGACTTTCTTGATGTGGATCCAAAGATCTCACCTAGCTTTTCACTAGATCCAGAGTGGCACAGTCTCTGGCCCATAGACTATAGTCTGGATATATGGTGTGATGGAGGAGGATCTCACCTTTTGGATCCTCGGTTTCTTTATCCATAAAATGAGGTGACAATGTATACCTTTGGAGTTGTTGTGGGAAGTGCAGGGGATCTCTTAGGGGAAATGGCTAGCACCTGGCTAGCACAGAGTTAAGTAGGTGCTTCGAAAGTGTTCTTCTCCTTTCCCTCATATAGATATGTCCTCCCTGGATTTATGGTTTTGTGGTTCAGTTCTCATTCCAGACCTATCAGTACAGTACTTCCCTTCTCCGTGCTTCTCTTACCTCTTCCTGCTCCACCCACTGTGTGAAGTAGTGGACAAAACCTTCTCTTTTCCCTCTTAGACAGACTTGCTGCAGGCAGGTTCCTATGCTGGATGGAACCTGATATATATCATTCCCAAACAGTTCATTCTACCAGCTCAGTCATGTAGGAAGTGCTCAGTTATGCCATGGGTTAAATAATGAGGCACTTTGTGTGTTGACTATGCTCAAGTTAAAAAAAAAATTAGGGGTACCTGGGTGACTCAGTGTGTTGAGCGCCCAACTCTTGAGTTCAGGCTTAGGTTATGATCCCAGGGTCTTGGGATCTGGCCCTGTATTGGGTCCAGACTGAACATGGAAACTGTTTGAGATTTTCTCTCTCTCTTCCTCTGTCTCTCTGCCCTGCTCTTCCTTTCCTCTCTAAAATAAAATAATAATAATAATGATAAAGAAATCAGGCACATTGAATATCTCTCAGTAAAAACCGATTTTACTGATTTTACATCGTTAGTAGACTGATGAATATCGAATAAGCCCCGAGAAATGGTCGGGGCAATGGTTCATTCATAAGGTTAGTATTTACTAGAAGTTAAATAGTGTTAGGTAATTCTTGTTAATTCTCTTGGAGTGACAATAATATTGGAGTTACTTGAGGAAAATTCTTCAGTTTAAGGAGATACTTAGTGAAACGCTTAGGGGTAAAGTTTCAGGATATCTGCAATTTCTTCTCAAATGCAGGTACATATACAAATACAGATAGATTCTGTAATATATGCAAATATGGCATATATCATATGTTCCTATCTATATCTATATCTATGTCTATATCTATCTATATATCTATATCTATATCTATATCAGAGCAACGTTAATAGTTGTTGGATCTAGTAGTAAGAATATTGGCACACATTGTATAATTCTTTTAACTTTTTTCTGTGTTAGAAAAAATTTACAATAGGGGTGCCTGGGTTGCTCAGACCAGTAAGTGTTGGACTCTCGGTTTTGGCTAGCATCATGATCTCTTGGTTTTGTGGGTTCAAGCCCGATGTCGTGCTCTGCGCTGACAATGCAGAGCCTCCTTGGGATTCTTTCTTGCCTTCTTTCTCTGACCCTGCCCCTAAGATGCTGTCTCTGTCTGTCTGAAAATAAATAAATCAACTTAAAAAAAAGAAAAAAACTATAATAAAATGTAGGGTTTAAAAACAAAACAAAGAAACTGGGAAAATATAATCCATAAAGTTCCTTAAAAATGTTGCCATTTGATTGTGTTTTTTATGTCAATATACTTCTCTATATTGTAAAAAAAGCTTCCTGCCGAGGGGAAATATTTCTTTTGAAATCACAAAATACCAATTCTTATAGTATATAATTTTTATAAGTTGTCCTCATAACTAAACATTTAAGAAAGTATGTGTTACATATACCACTCCCAAACTATTAGGAGCCCACATAATTTGAGGAATTTTGAGTGTTCAAATGGAAATAAGTGACTGATAGTATTGATTAATCTGGAGGACTAAAATTTCAACACACCCCCAGGAAATGACTCTTTTTTACATTTTATTTATTTCTGAGAGAGACAACATGAACAGGGGAGGGTCAGAGAGAGAGGGAGATACAGAATCTGAAACAGGCTGCAGGCTCTGAGCTAGCTGTCAGCACACAGCCTGATGTGGGGCTCGAACCCACAAACCGTGAGATCATGACCTTAACCGAAGTTGGACGCTTAACTGACTGAGCCGTCCAGGTGCCCTGGTAATGACTTCTTAAAAACTTTTATTTTGATTGATTGATTGATTGATTTGCATTCCTTTTTTTTTTTTTTTTTTTTTTTAAAGTAAGCTCTGTGCCCAATGAACTCATGACCCTGAGATCAAGAATCACATGCTCTATGGACTGAGCTAGCCAGGGGCCCTTTAAAAACTGTGTAAAGAAAAACATCTATATACCATACCTAAATTTTAGAGACAAAGGACTATCCGCACTTTTACTGTAGGGTAACATATCACAATATATATTTGCTTCATGAGCAGGAAGCAGAGGGGGACCTTGAGGAAAGCATGGAAACTTCTACCAGACAAAAGCAAGTGCCTTGAGGCTGTGCTGAACTGAGGCTTAAGTATGGTTTCAGACTCAACATGGACCTTAGCTATCACATCTCCATGATGAATCACATGTCTCCCACACTGGCAATTTGGGCTTTAAAATCAAGTGAGGCATTTTGTAGGAGACGAGATGCCGCCTTGGACTCACCATCTGATCTATGTCTGGTTAATTACAGACTGACTTTCTACATCCCAAATGAATGTCTGTAGCTTCTCTTAATTTTTGAAAGCCACCCATGTCAATGTGGAATTATCAACATTTTCAGAAGGAAGATTAAAGGGGTCCTTGTTTGTACAATATACATACTTAGCCCTTCAGGATTAAAGTCTCTATTATCTTATAACACCTCCTTATTTTAAAAATCATCTTTTCTTCCTTTTCTTTTTATATTTTTATAGCATGCCAGTGAAAAAACCAGTGGATCACCTTCCAAGTCAGGAGAAAAGAAGGGATCAAATGAGGTAATTTCTGCAGTACTGGGCTTTCCTTTTCTCTTGTTTTAATTGTGAATTCTATCTTGACACAGATGATGACGTTGCAAAGAGTTCCTACTGGAATTTTGGTAGATTTTGTCTGACTTAAGATTTGACTCAAGAATATAAGTGAAAATCATTACAGATTAATAAAAATTAAGGTGTTCCTGGGAAAAGAACCTTTAGAAATAGTTTCTATTTAGAACTAGAACCCAGTTATTGAAGGTATTTTCCTTATAGGAATTGTTGAACCTTAAATGTTTTGTTGGTGAACATGGCAGATTTAGAGGGGGAAACCAAATGCTGTAATGGAAAAGGAAATCTTTTTTCATGAGAATACACTATGCAAGAAGAAAAGTGACAGCCTAGATTAACCCATTATTCACGTTCATAAACAAAAGGAGGAGAGGAAAACTATTTTTATTTGGATCATTTGTATGGAAACACTAGTAAACCAAATCATTCCCTTTTGAGATGGTGGGGTTTTTTTTTTTTTTTGAGCTTCTGGATTTCTCCTTCCACTGAATGACACACCATTCAACACTGTCAACACTGGCCAACTTTCTTCATGGAGAAGGGTCCTGTGAATGTGCTGTCCTTCCGAAGGGTCCTAGATGTGCTTCCCTTTTGCTACTTTTTACATTTTAGATTGCAATAGATATGTTCATCTTCATTTGATAGAAATTGTCGTTTCCAGCTTGTAAGACAGCCAAGTCCTGAACGGTACATGGAAAACTAGCATACAGTGATCGTTATGTTTTTGTCTATATTATCAACATGTTTTCAGAAATTTTGTTCCTTTTCTGTCTGCAGTTTTGAAATATTTAATATATTTCAATACATTGAATATATGAGGAGATTATTATGGATAGAAACTGCTATAGATTCTGCACTGAGGTTCGCTCTACTTTCTACTGTCATTTTCATTACTAATAACCTTGAAAATATAATTTAGATTATTAATGAGCAAATTCGTAATGAAGTTTGCCATGGAAGGTAACTGTTTCTTTAAAATTAAAAAGAGTAAACATTTATTTAGATTTTATCCTGTTTCTTCATTAAATTATTAGAAATAAATTCCCATATGAAAAACCACACTTTCCCCTTTTACTAGCATGAAAACTACCATAGAGTGTCATTCAGTTCCCTTATCTACCCTACCATTTAAGTATATTCCTAGATAAGTTATCCATTAAATAATTTCCTTATCTGAAAACTGTAGTGTTTCTTTATTCTCCACACTGGGAAATAATGATTTTGGATGTTATTCTCTATTAATATTAATCAAGAGTGAACTATTTACTTGAAAAAGGAAGTATTTTCTAATGTGGTCAAGTGAATAGTAGGCTAGTTCTTATAGGCGTATTCTCACTAATTCTGTTTTTCCTTGAGAGCTTAAATATTACATCTTGATTGTACGGGCATTTTTGGTTTAGACAACAGCTGCTAGCATAGTATTAGGATTGCTTAATATATAATATCTGGACTACAAAGTACCTTTTTCCCAAATTTATAAGGGGCTTGAGAAAACTAGTAAGGAGCCCTGTTACAAATGCAGCCAGGGGACAATTCGGGATTTCTGTGTTAGTAGAGGCAGACTATACTTTTAAGTTCAAAACTGAAAGGCTGGGGCACCTTGATTAAGCGTCCAACTTCGGCTCAGGTCATAATCTCACAGTTCATAGGTTCGAGCCCTGTGTTGGGCTCTGTGCTGACAGCCAGCTCAGAGTCTGGAGCCTGTTTCAGATTCTTGTCTCCCTCTCTCTGACCCTCCCCTGTTCATGCTGTCTCTCTCTCTCTCTCTCTCTCAGACATAAATAAAGCATTAGAAAAAAAAACAACAAGAAAAGGCTGAACTTCTACCTCAGGAAAAGGAAGAAGGGATTTTTCTTCTCTTTATTAGTAATTCAAGGAATTCTGACATTGTTCCAAAACTCTTCTGAGAAATTCAGGTTTCCAGCTCTTGTTCTTGTGCTGAGCCTGGACATACTGGTCTGTTTTGCTCTGTCCTGGCCAGCAGAAGTGAAGAGGGGACAGAGGCTTTTCCCTGCTCCTATGGCGTAAATCACTGTACAGATTCATATGGTCTGAGACTGAAGATTGTTTATTATGCTACCAAGTTCAGTCCATATCTTTTTGATAGGGTAAGCATACCTGTGAGTTGGGATGACTTGGTAGTGAAGATATATATATTTCCAATATGATCTGTCTGCAAGGAGCCTCTAATGCTTTATGTTACATCAGGTAAGTCATTGGTGAGATATTGTGGCCCTGGAGATAATTCAAGGAAACTATCTTGTATTAGACATTATTTTAGCCTTTGTATTCACAGTTATAACACCATGTGTGATTTGGATTTGTTATCTACCCTACCTGTCATCCATAATTGGTTACCATTCTCTTTTCTTCTCAAAATTACCAGAGGAAGATGTTCTCAGACTAATCCTTTCTCCCAAATATTTTCTTGCCACTGCTCTTTTGAACAAGAAATGAGATTCAGAGGCTTAGTTTCAGTTTTGGCAATCCATTTTCAGACTAGCATATACTTCCAAGGGTTAATAATATGTCCCTAAGCATCTGTAAACATGTAGGCTAGGCTTCCACGGACAACCCTAGGCCTTTGAAATAAAGTCAGTTTGAAAGTGTGCTTTCTTTGCTTAGGGATACTTCTCGGCATTTGTTTTCTTTCTCCCTTTATTACTCTTCTGCATTTTATTTGGAGGTGCAAGAAAAAGGGTATGTAGGAGGACTTTGGGAAGATATAACCAGAAGCAAAATGATTAGGGGTAGGTAAGAACCCCAATTATTTTGTTATATGTAAAAATACCTGGGGATGAGTGCTCTGTGTGAATTTTAGAGCTCTTTCTCTCCTGCACTCATAAATAGTTTTTACTTGTTTGGAATTTGACCCCTATATAGCCACTAAGTGATTCTAAGAAGTTGGCAGCAATTTTAACGGAATCCTACAACCAAAATATCATTTGTCATGTTGCATTTGCAACACAAATGCTTGAGGCTGGACTAGAGTAAGTGTCTAGAACATATTCACTTATTTCTTTATACCAGTCATTATGAACTGACTAAGACCTCCTCAGATGTAGAAGAATTAGGGAACTAAAAGTTGCATGCATTAATAAACCAAAGATAAAATGATCAGAGCGGGAAAAGAAAAACTGGGAACATTTAACATCAGTCCCCCCCCTTTAAAAACACTGGAACAAAAAAGCCTTTCCAAACCTGCAATCAAATCTACTTAAAGTATTTGAGTAACATATTTGGTCACACTGGGGAAGTATGATCATTTGAGCAACATATTTCAGTGAAGGCCTGAGGAATGGAATTTAAAGCATAAGATGGGCAGAATCTTTTTGAGCCAATTATAAGAGTTCAGATTTAATAGACATATTTTTATGGGTAAAAAGGGAGCTATAAACAGAAGAGGATAGAAATCATGCCTTAGAGGAAAAGATACGCAGTGGATTTTCTTTACCATAAGTAATAGCACTGGTGGGATTCTTTTCCTCGGTATTTACCTTTCTTCCTTCTAAAATGCATGAAGTATTGAATGACTCCAACATTGTTTATACTTTTCCTCTTAATGAAATTAGCCTTTTTTTAAATCACAAAAACGGTGTGTACTTGTGAAAAACACTACCTAGTCTACCACTTAGTTATGACTATTGGTATGAAATTTTGTGTGATAACATTGCATGTTCATACTTAATATATATACTGATTTTAGCAACTTTTTAATAATTATACAGCTAAAATATAATCATCGAAGAAAATTGAGAAAATACTGAACACTTTTTTTTTTTAAAGTTTATTTATTTATTCTGAGAGAGAGAGCACAGGAGTTCTGGAGGGAGAGAGAGAGAGAGAGGGAGAGAGAGAGAGAATCCCACGCAGGCTCTGTAGGCTTTGAGCGTGGAGCCCAATCTGGGGCTTAAACTCACAAACTCTGAGGTCATGCCTTGAGCCGAGATCAAGAGCAGACATTATGAAGCCACCCAGATGCCCCAGGAAAATACCAAAGACTTTAAAGAAAAAATGCCATCATCTACCATTCTGGCACCTACAGAGATGGCCACTACTTCTATCTTAGTGTGTTTCCCTATATCTTTTTTCTCTGTGCATATGTTATGTGTAAGCTGAGATAACAAAGAAACATCATTAATAGAGCCTAGAAAAGGATAAATAATGTATTTTGTGAGAGATCAATTTTTTCCAATGAAAAAGAGTCATTATCGTGTAGATTTTAAGAAAATCATTATTCAGGTTTCTTGGCTTTTTTTTTTAAAATACTTTTATTTATTTCTAGGAGAGAGAGAGAGAGAGAGACAGCGTGAGCAGGGGAGAGTCAGAGAGAGAGGGAGATACAGACTCTGAAATAGGCTCCAGGCTCTGAGCTGGCAGTCAGCACAGAGCCCGACGNGGGAGATACAGACTCTGAAATAGGCTCCAGGCTCTGAGCTGGCAGTCAGCACAGAGCCCGACGCGGGGCTCGAACCCACGAACCGTGAGATCATGACCTAAGCGAAAGTCGGACGCTTAACCGACTAAACCACCCAGGCGCCCCGGTTTCTTGGCATTTTAAAGGGCACATTTAATCTGGTCTTTACTGTGTGCTGTGTTTTTGGGGGAGAAACACATCTTCAAAAAGTCTCCTGGGACAGTATTCTCACAAGCAAGTGGTTAAGTTGATGTTAGAGAATTCTGGAAGTGTAGTACAGCATATATTGTGTTAAGGGATTAACGATCATGACAGTAAAGTCCATGATAATTGTGGGGAGTTGACTGCGGTTGCACAAGCTTATGTCCCAGTGCCAAGAAAGAGGCAAAGCCAAAGAAGTGCCCCGAGCTCAGGCCCATCTGGGTCACCGGGACAGCCACACTCCAGCAGCCGGCTCAGAATCCAACTGTGTGGCTGATTTGGTGTGTTAAACTCTCTAAGATAAGCTCCAGAAATTCTTGAGGACTGCAGTTTC